TGAAGAAAAATAGTCATAACAAAACAAAACGCAAAAAACAATTCGGTCGCATTTTGTTCTCAGTCAGAGAATTGCCGAAATATTTTCTCTCATATTAACTCCTGGATGACGCAGGTTTTACGATTCTTATTTTAATTTTTTAAGCTTTTGAAACAAACAAAAACGGTAGCTTAGAAAACGAAGAAGTTTTTCCAGATATAAATTTCCACTGAGTTTTGAATAAACAGCACCAACTTCCAAAAGCAAGTACAGTATTTCCTCGAACACAATGCGCTGAAATGAGAACTGAGTCGGACCCGAAATTAAATTGATTATTCAAGCTAACTTTCGATGATCATGTCACGGAACTTTTAAAAGAATAAGGTTGCGAGATGCTTTCTCAATAAAATTTTGATTCATCTCTCCTCGGAATTTAGTTCAGATCATGCTTCAACCTTATGCTCCTCGGTTTTCGACGAGTTGAAGAGATTTCGAACGATTGAATAGTTACACATTCTTTTGACCATCCCATCGACAAAAATTTCGCGATCCAACCAATGACCAGCTCAAAGTTTTCCGTAGTTTAAATTCACAAAAAGTCTGGCTATAATTTGTATAAACACAAGGGTTTTCAAAAATGGCTCATTCAAGAAACACTTAGAAAGGTCTTTCGCGAAACACGGACATTTTTCTTGAACAAAAAAAGAATGAAATCTTGTAAAATGAAATTCCTCCGAGATTTCACACACTTGGGCGGCGAAAAAACAAGGATTCTTAGATTTCTGCGCACAGGTCAAAAATAGCTCAATTTTAACACTCGTAGTTCCAAAATTTTGTAATTATCTTAATTTGGGTTTTCACACTTACTCAAAAATTTCCTGAAGCAATTCGAACACATCTCTCAACTCTCTCCATGAAAAAATTCATCGCAATCATGCAATCTCGATATTGGCAATTTTTTGACCAATTTGAAAATGACTCATCTAAACCATCAAAAGCAACTTGTAAAACATTCGAGGTTTCAGATGCCCAACTTGAAAATGGTAAATTCAACGCTATGACACACTTGTTTGCACTGAGACTTCGCAGGAAACCGCAAGAAGATCATACATTTTGGAGTCACGCAAATCTCAATAATGAAAAAGCCACAAAGTTATTTTGCAAGGTAGAAACAAAATAGGAAAGGGGGAGACAATTTTGGAAAACAGTAAATTCTCGAGACTTTTCTTTTTAATGATCTGATGAGTTAGCTGCCCTACGTTCTTTTTCAATGCGACGAGAAGGAAACAATTTATACTCTCGAAGAAATTCATGAAAATTAACTTGCCTGAAATCCTATCTGAAACAATCGGACACCCCTCGCACGAAAAACGAACCCCGAACACCAGGTTAGCTTCCGATAAACAAAAACTTCTCCACACCGCAACAGAACAAAAAAAATTTTAATCTACAGGCATCGAATTTCCGAGATGATCCTTTGCGATGATCCGACGATCAAAAAGCAACGCACTTTCTCCTGAAATCATCCCTCTAGAAAAAAATCGGAAATCCCTCGCACGAAAATCGCACTCAAATTCAAAACAACAAAAATACACACATCAAGCCCGTAGACACTAGGTTAACTTCCGATGAACGGAAGCTTCTCCACACTGCAACACAACACGGACGCGACGAACAACAAATTGAAAAACAAATTCAACTTGGCCGTTTTCCTGGGCATGGACGCGTACATCCCGGCACGCAATTCTCGCTCATTTCTAAACGCCGCCGGCATTGTAAACAACGGCAAGGCGAACCACACAGAGTGTTTGATGGCACACACAGCCACCATGACGTACGGCGTGAAAAGCAGGACACCGTAGAGCAACTTGGACAGAGCTGGACCGAGAATGATGGCCAGTGTGACGATGCCGGCAACCCGGTCGGCCTCCATGTCCCGGGTGTTGTTGCTGTGCAGCACGGCTTCGACACTCAGGGCAGCTGGTAGTGCGTAGAAGGCAGCTGCAGTCGACACTGTTCCCGTCTGCGCCATGTAGGCGAAGATGACTGTCACGGGTCCAAAAATGGTCTTGCAATAAACGGAGGGTAAAAATAATAATAATCAGTCATTGATCCAAAATTTTTTTCAATTAAAAAAAGTGATACTCATCTTCACAAGATTTTTTTAAACAAGGCATTCAGAAAAAAATATCTTACCCCCTTTTCCGGAAATGTAATAATTTTACGTCGATACTCCGTTTTTTAGAATCTTCTTTTGAAAATCCGTGATCCCTTTCTTCCCAATGTTCTTCTCTTGATTTATTTAAAATTTGTTCACGCATAGAGAATTGCGCAGAAGGGATGTAAAACAAAAATTAAAACTAATCGTGATAAAAAATAAAATTCATTGAGCTGGACTGGAGCAACAATTTTCAATCTATTTTTTCACCACACTAAAAATCTGAGAAACGGTTCCTCTGAGGATTTTTTTTCAATGTGTTAACATTTGAAGAATTGCATAGAAGTGAATTAAAAAATGTCTTCGATCAATCGCGAAAATTATAAACAAATTTGGTTATCACAAAAAACAAGAACACTTGATCCGCCTTTTTGAAAGATTAATAAATACACGTCAATAATTCGATTTTTTTCCTGAAAAACATGATCGTTTTCTTCCCAAGATTTTTCTGCGGATTTTCCCCAACATATTCAGTTCAACGAGAAACGACAGAATTTTATTCCCTTTTCCAAAAAATTGATAATATCCAGCGGTATTACCCCGCAAAGCTCCTCTGTAAAAAATGAGATTTATTTGTTAATCCGCGCTTTTCTTGAAAATACTGTAAACAGCGAAGAGTTCATCACATCAAGTTTTCGTAAAAACTCGGGAGTAATTCGTGAATTGAAGCAATAAGGTACTGTACTGCACTGGGTTTCAGTTAGTCCGGTTACATTACACATATTGATCAAGCTTCGTAGTGGACGACATTTATCTGATTTAAATACAACGGTTAGACGGCAAACAGGCTCAGGAATCAAGGTTATATCTGCAATGATCAGGTATCAAAATATCAAGTAAACAAAAGAGCACGCATTTGAAAGAACAGAACAGTCAAAATCCTACCTATGCTTGCAACAAGATTATACAGTACTAATGTACAGCAGAACCCTCATGCTTGCTCTTATGCATATTATTGTTGAAATAAATCTTGAAAAATCTGTTGCAACACAATTTTCGAAGTGTTGCGCCTATAGTTTCTTTACCAAAAGCTTTACAAAATGGCTATTATTCACACTCTCACCGTGACATAATTCATCTTTAGCTCATTATTGGGAAAATTGGTAGAAAAGTCTAATTGCACGCATGCATCTTCACTTCATGCAAATCCCTGCTGTAAAGAATCTTAAAAATTCGTCGCACAATTAGGTGGTCTATCATTTGTCTATCACATCTTTCTCACAAAAATTGTAAAAAGATTGTATGAATAAAAATCTTGGTCAAACAGAATTTCATTTGTACATCTGAGCATTGAATTAAATACAGAAATGTTGTACTCAAATACAGTTGAACCTCTTTCAGTGAACTTCAATGAGTGACCAGAAGAAAAAATTTATTTTTGGGAAACAAGCATTTTTGTTGGAGGAAAGAATGAAGATTTCAGGAAACTAGTAATTTGTGATATCTTGGGCATTAAATTGCTTCTTGGATGAGTTGACAGGATGCTGAACATGGAGAAAAGGGCTCAATTGCACAATCAGTCTTTCATTTCCTTTCAGAAAACAAAGTCACATTTCTTGCATTTATCTTTTCTGCGTCAATAAACAATCCCAAAATGTCTGCAAAAATTTTGAGTTACAAAGTTTCAAAAAGGAAAGCCTTTGAGTTAGGGAGGTTTTCAATGCATTGTCTCTAATGGAATTGAGAAAGAGGGAGGTATTCCACTCAAGGCTCCATGAAAAAATCCCATGGCTCAAAAATTCTGCAAACTTTATGTATTTATCAGGAAAAGCCTTTTTTGTTGCATAAAGCATGGGATGGTGCGTCAACAAATTATGGATTATTAAATAAGTATAAATGAAATCCAATGACAAAACCCGTACGGGAACAAGAATCTTGTAGGATGTAGATCACCGAATTGCGGAAGCATTGTATGTCTGTTGGGTTTTCTTTCTGATCATTTTGAAATTTTACGATTACCTTTCTCAATAGAGCCTGAAAATTGGAGCTTAAATCTCTGCTTTGGCTCAGAATAATAAACAGAACTTTTCCACAAATTTTTGTACTTCGCGGGTTTTTCTCACCCCGCAAGATTTCCGGGCGTAGCGGGTTTAATGTCCAGCAGGATTTCAAGGAGGTTTGAGTTATCAAGCATCAACTGAACTCGCTTTCCTAACGCAAAACCTTTCCCCCATCCAGAAATGGAACTCACCATTATGATCAGATCTCCCAATGCAATGTACTTAAGCGCAGCTCCTCCAGTGTACAAAAACGAGCTCGACAACCCACCAAAATACACAAGCGCCAGGTGCTCCATCTTCGCCGGCGACAGGATCACCAGCGCCACAAACCCCGCGCATCCCACGCAGTATAAAATGGACGCCAGTCCTACCACCTCGTCCTTTGTGATGATCGAATCCACCAACGTCCGATCGTCGCTCTTCTTGCTGTCTATGCCCTTGACGTAGTCGAAGTAGGTGTTGACTAGGTTGCCAGCAGCGTGGACGGATAACGCAGTGACGCAAGAGATCAACAAGATGGCGAGGTTGAACATCCCCGTGGATTTGAAGGCTAACACGCAGCCGAGGAGAACGGGAGCTAAAGAGCAGCTAAAGGACCAGGGTCGCAAGGCTACCACGTAACTCGACAGTTTCATATAATACGAACGGTTATCACTGGCGGCCATCTGCAAAGAGCGGATTAGCGAGTCTCAGAGCGGACTGCCGAAAAAATCTTTACATTTTAACGAATCCAAAAAACAAGTAAAAAAATTGAGTTTCTTCCCTAGAAATAGAAACCAAAGCGAATTTAATTAGCAGATATGATAATTAGTAGCTCAACTGAGCTGATGTTACTCCTGTTGCGTGCGTGTGTGCAAGAGAAAAGCAACGCTTGTAATGAAGAGAAAATTTACTCCTGTGTCCAAATATACTTTGTCCCTGTCCATGAAAGAAGGTTCACTAATTTCCTGCAAATATTTCTTTAAAGGTGCATGAAATACGCAAGCAAATGCTGTGAAATTATATTTAACCTAAAACAGTTACCTAGTCGAGAAATTTATTTACTCTGAAGATTCATCTGAAAATAAGGATTTGCTTCAATTCAGTCGGAACATTGAAATTTAGCACAAATGATGATCTGATTGCGCTATTCTTCAGAAATTTTCAGCTCTCATCAATTTATTTTTCAAGACCTCTCGTAGATTTCAATTCAAAAGAAAGATTCGAAGATTAAACTGTATTCCTAAAATCTACAGAACAAATTCTTTAAATTCCTGAAAACGGCAATTATTGTACAGCCAAATTTTATCATAAATTCGGAAATTTAGTCATTAAGAACATAAGATTACAAGAAAGTACCTAGTAATGAACACGAAGCGGTACGACAAAAGATAGTCAAGAGCTGAAAATGATACCGAAACAAAGTTCTTAAACTTCATGTACATAATAAATCGAAGAGTGCAAATTTAATTAGGGAAAGGAACGGAAAATGAGATGCTATTTAATCGATGAGTAAGCGTTTTCCAAAGATACTTTGTTCAGGTTGAACGATTATTACTCAAGTTGTACGTGAACTTCGCGTTTCGACATACAAATTGGCAGAAAAAATTCGGGCCCTTCCAATGTACAGTAATAAATCTCCTTTCAAATAAAATTCCAAGCAGCTTTAAAAGTGTACATACAGTATTCGTGTTCATTTTTTAAGCACCCCGAAACGAAATCAACGGCTTGGAAACCGCCAAATAAATCCGTCGACTTTTTTTTTGGCAAAAAAGGAACAATGACTTTATCACGCAACTACTGAAGAATCAAATTGATCAAGCCTGGTAAATCTCCTTCAGCTCCTCGTCTTCCGGCTTGAATATGCACCTGTCTTTCAAACTAACTACCCAGCCGGGTTCGAGGCCGTAGAACACTTGTCTCGGGTGCTTTCGCTGCCCCAGGAATTTCGGATCGAACCCGACAGGCAACTCGTACCCGTATTTCTGGGAGAGCAAGAATCGCTCTTTCGCAATTTCTGCCGGGTCAGCCAAATACCCGCGATTTTTCGGGTTCGTGTAGTACTCGACGGCATCAAATGGAGGCAGCTGACGTCTGGGTATCGGGAACCCTGTTGGGAACACGACAAAATTTACATCAACGCACGCAACGTCATCCCACACCAGACTAAACAAGACTGTTTTCTCACACAAACAGAACGATTTTACAGTTGAAAAAAAAAGCTTCTACAATACAAAGAACGGGTGCTGAAGAAAATCCTGTAGGCCCAAAAATGTTTAGAAAAACACAATTTATAATCAGAGCCCATTTAGAGATTAAAGCTCCAAATAAAGGCGACATCTTTCTCAGGCTCTCGAGGAAAATCCAATTCTCAAAATGGCTCAAAAGAATATTCGAAGACACACTTACAAAATTTACTGGTCTACAAGATTTTTGTTCCCATTGGTGGATTTTGTACTTGGGTTTTCATTTAGGCTTGTTTAATAATTCAGAATTTGTAAACACACCATCGCCTAATTTAATGTAGTTACCGGAAGAGGCTTTTTCTGATGCATACGATAAATTCACATCGTGGGATTTTCGTACACTGCGAGATGTTCAGGTCTAAGGGATCTTCTTATGGAACCCAAAAAGCATTTGTACCCCGGATAAATCGAAATTTTCAATACAATGAACTCAATCGGCTACAGACTTAAAACCCGGCATTGAAAGAAAAAAAAAACTTCAAAAAGCGACGGTCATTCAAAGAGGGCTAACATCTTGTGCGAGTGTTGAAAATTCTTCAGCTTGTTTCCAAACGTTTCCGCTGTTGGATAATATTTTTTTCAAACATACTGTACATCCATTCAGCAATTTATTTAAGAATGTGGCGGGGGTTTATGAAAATAGCAGAATTTCCTTGGAATACCTGGAGGCAGCCCTTGGAATTAATAGCACATGATTTCAAGAATTCGGAAGGAAAATTGGGCTATGCCAAAAAATCTGCGAGATGAACATTCCATCTTTCGAGTGAAAAGCAGAAACCTGCCTACGTGGCTTTCGCCAAAAATTTCTAAAAATTATTTCAAACAGGACGTATTATTTTTCTCGTGCCCAAGTATATATTTTTTTCTGAACAGCAAATGTTTTTCAGCTCAATCATATGCCGTCTCAATTTATATCCCGAAAACGTCTGCTAGACCACTTATATCATCTGTAAAACGTGTGTACAACAAACCACTGTACAGGAAGCAATTTGCGCTTCACTTGAAAAATTTTCTCAATTTGCCCATTGAAACGAGATTGTTTCGATGTGGGTAGGTGTCGCTGGCAAATTAAAACTGCATACTTCATCTTCACACAGAGTTACCCCGAGTTTAGGTCAACGAAAATTACAGGTCATACTAAACAGGTTTGCGTTCAGTACGAACACAATCATGCAATATTCGACAACAAAAAAACCCTCGAAAATATTCATTAAGAAAAAGCTTTTCAAAAATATCATAAAAAATAGTGGGCTGCATACAATATTACATTGTACATTAATGTACTTTAAATTGTACGCTATGAACTTCCTGTCTGTTCCCAAACTTTCTATTGACACTTTTTTTTTCAATTGTTGGCAGACGTCGCTAATAGTCAAACCAAACCATCTTGAAGTTGAGGTTAGTTAGATCGGAACCGCAACTTGAGAAGAAATCTTCTTAGTTCAAAATAAACCATTCTACCCGTATTTACTCAAGTACCACGCAAAACCCCGTTCTTCTGCAGTTCTTTTATAGCTGAAAATCAAGAATCGTCAAATTTTTTGTGTGGATCCACTTTTCCCCCATTGATAATTTCGCTTTTCCTGCTTTTTACTGTCTGCAGCTTCCTCGACTATAGGAATATCTTCCACTTCCTTTCCTTCCTGTAGCGTCCCAACTGATTCCTTAAATTGTTATTGCTTGAACCATTATTTCCCAAGGACAAGGAGACTTGCCGACACACATTTCCGCTCTATTTCATTTATTTTTCATTAGATGTACTCACACGCCTGTGAGGGGCTCTGGTTTTGGAATTTTTCCAGTTAAAAATGTACCCCGCTCACCAGATTTTTGTCTTGTAATTTCCGGAAAAAATGTGCGCGTGGTACTTGAGTAAATACGATATTTTCAATATACAATTCAGTATATGAGAGGTCTGTAAAATGCCATTCGCGAATTATAATAACATTAGATACTTTTCCCAGTTCGACCAATGCATCGAAAAATACATTTATTCCGACAAAACGTCACTCGTAAATCAAACGGAAATTTACGACTCAATGAATTCTCTCTGCTGTTCCATTTTCTCGATTTCTGACGTGCGTAAGCAAAAATTTGTTTTTGCATCGCACGAGAGTCTTAAAAACATCATGGCCAGTTATGGAAAATCTGACGCATCAATTCATTTTCTTCCGATCTGAGAATTACATTCCTTTCGAGATGAACAAATCAAGTTCTGCATACCTCGTGAATATCAATAAATCAAAATGTCGGTTATTCATACCCAGAGGAATGCAACTGAAACACATTCCTCTGAAGGCCTAGAACAACTACATTAATATCGCACTGCTTAGGAACGTACCTGAAGCACTTCATCCGAGTTCAGGACGTGGACATATAACAGTGCACTAAAGTTCCTCGGAAACAGAAAATTCATTTATCTAGAAAAATTGCTTCTGATAACTACCAAATTTACTGTAGTAACACCAGTTCAAGTAAGAGAGGCGGCTCCTTTTGAAAATCCCGCGGCTCGAAAAGCCCGTAGGTCGAAAAATCTCGCAAGGTATGAAAATACCACAGCAACGAAAGTCCCGAATACTAACAATTTTTTAAAATGAGTCTGGGCTTTCCTTCAAGCGGTTTTGAAGGTCTCTTGAGAAAGGCTACCTCGCATTTCTCAAGAGAAAGGTGAGGAGGCCTGCGAAAGATGTAGCCTTCATCTCTGCACAGCATTTGTTTTAAATATAAAGGGTCTACTTTTCTGATGAATTCCACAGTTCAACATTGCCTCTGACGCAGAAAACTTCAGAAATATACGGATTGAAATTTAAAAGAATGGAATTTCACTATCAAACTACACCTGGACATTTTGAATAATTTTTCGTTCCAGCGGGATTTTCGTAACCCGCGAAAATTTCAGGCCTACGAAGTTATCGACCGCACAGGATTTTCGAGTCACGGGATTTGTTTTTCTCCCACGTGCTTTTCTTCTGCACCAAGACAAGAACCACATTCATAGTCGCTGGAAAACTACAATATCTCAAAATAAGAGACATCAGAATTCAAACTAAATTCAAATAACTTTCATTACTTTTATTATGAAAATTTAAAAAGTTCCCGTTAAAAATTCCCCATGAAATGAGTGACGCGCACCCTAACTCCCAAAATTTTTCAAAAATTGAATTTCTACCTTTTACGCGAACCACGTTTTTCCCTCTCAATTTTGAATAGAAAAAGGTACGTACTCAAGTACCGTAAATACGGTAATGAGCGTTCCAGAAGCTACGAAGCGTTTCGAAATTCGGGATATAATTGATAACCATTCTAAAAAAAAAAGTTTCCTACAATTATTTACAGGTACAGTATTCTAAAAATTGAAGACCAGAGAAGCAGAAGCTGCTAGTAGTCACCTCTTTTGAAGAAATCCTCGGCGTCCCCCAGGGCTTGCAAACTTCTCTGATCATAAAACGCCGTCGTGATAATGCCGCCGTTTCGCTCCACCGCCGCGATCACGTGCTCCGGCGCATATTGCACTTCGACATTCACTTTCGCCGCAAAATTGTCCATTCCGTCGTCGGTCAACTGGATCCCGAAATACCGAATAATATTCGGATCCAAGCGGAACAACTTGGTCCTATAGATTTGAGCCAAGTCCACGGGTTCGCTCGGATCTATCCGACTAGTGTCGATCATCAGTTGCAGCTGTTGCAGCGACATGGGCGCGTATTCTCGACGCAAATGATGGCCTTTGTAGTACTGCTCTTTTTGAAACCTAGTCACAAACGGGTTCTTGCTGGGTTCGAATCCAAGTCGCATCGGCTTCGCTGAGAAAATACCATTTTGAAAGATTATACCTCAGTCAACAGGCAGTTCGCAACGAATACTTTTTCCCTAAAAAAAAACCGCGTTTTCTCCAATAGTTGCTTCAGAAAACGGACAGCGAGACAAATTCAACTCGTACCAAGAAAAATCTAAGTTTACGTGAAAAATGTGACTAACGTCAGTTTTAAAGCAAAAGACAAAATTCTCTCTTTTCTCAGTGTTTCCAATGGTGTTTCAAATTTCAGAGAGTGAAGTAATAAATGGCTTTAAAGGATGAAATTTTCCATTATACCTCCACACTGTCTAGGAAAAATATTACGTGGAACAAAGAGAAGCCCGAAAAACAGGAGAAGAACGTTTCATACGAGTTAAAAACAATATAAAGCATAAATAACCTACATTTAAAGTTACTGATGATTACTTTCGATGTTTTAGATTCTAGGAGCTGCAGAAAGATAATGAACACCTCAATACGCTTCACAAGATTCAGTACTGCATTGAATAATCAAAAAGCATCACGATACCGATTTGAAGGGACCAGATTATAAAAAATTACGTAACAGAGAAGGAAAAATTCATGAATACACGTCGAAAAAAATCATGTCTTAAAATTCCTGGAAGGAACCAAGATTATCTATTAGTATGCTATATCAGAGTGCAATCGTCAGAATTTGACAGATTCCATATTTTACGGTAGTATTTCCTAAAAAATGAATGTTTCTCTCACATTGTTCACCGCGTGTGAGATGATGCTTTGCCCTGGTTCCTCGAATAATCTTCCTTTTCTTGCTCGTCCCAGGTTCAGATGCAATATTATCAACTCCAACACGCGGCAAAGAACGCAGCATTGCCAATGCCGTGTCAACGCCGCGCTTCATTTCACTCAGTTTTTTGGCCATCTAAAACAATCAATCATTAAACGATCGAAAACTTCTGGAAAAATAAAATAATATTCCCCAAAGACAGCAAGGATTGCGACGCTGACAATTCGTCATTGAAAATCAGAATAAATTCCACGGATTCGTGAGACGAACGAAACGTGTCCAATACAAGAAAATACCTAAATATGCCATTCGAAGCTTGGAATGTAGAATACAATACTATCGATTCGATCAGGAATCTACAAAATCTCATATCTTCAAGGATAAACTTACATTATGTTTCAATTTTCAACAAGTAAATTGCCGCGTACAATCAGCACAGCCTTGCATCGAAGACTCAATGTTCCCATTCACAAACCGCAGTTTGCATTTCAAAATGATCTTTTCCTTTCCACCCCAAAGAAAAAGCGAAGGAATCGGGCAACAACAAAAAAAATAAATGAAACGTATTAAATGAGAGCTCCTCGCTGATCGCCGACGCAGAACAAAAAACAGCATGAAGAAGTCAGCGAGCAAGTATCTTGAAGAAGCCAAATCGTATCACAAACACGGGTAACAACCATTCACGCTCCCACTTCCTCTTTTCCTCCAAAAAAAATAAAATAAACGAACAAGTAATACAATAGAAACCGCGTCGTAATGCTCGGAGATACGGTTCCTGACACAGTTACAGAACAAATAAAATATCGAGTCGAAAACACGACGCGGGAGCGTGAAATGTCGCAGTTACCCAAATACGTCTTCCTGAATACGCCGAATTGATCGGACTTTAACTCGCAAAGCAATGTTACAATCACGAACTGAAGGAAGACCGAGTGAATGAGAGAAAAAGGGGTGGGAAAAGTACGTCACGAATGCGACCTTGACGCGCTTCAGAATGCAGAAAAAAGATCCTGATGATTCATTCCGTCAAGAACTGAAAAACGAAGGATGATTACATCAGCTTCCGAAAATGATCGAAATAATCCTTCAAAATTGAACTCACGATCTTGTTTTCGGCCCTTGTGAAGACAAAGTGGGGAAAAATTCTTCACTATTAATATCCGGTGCAACTCTCGGACGACCTCGGACAACTGAAAAGCAAATACAATTATTGTAGAAGCATAGTGCACAGTTTTTTCTGACAGACTGTAGTATGAGTCGTCATACATGTGTTTAAACACATTAAAATCAAAATTAGATTGTTTCGACGATCGCCACAGTCATAGATCTGATCAAGGAAATCCGTTCGAACCGTGAGGAAGTAAGAAATATAAAAATGAAACCTCTCTGAGCAGCAGTAGGAACACTAGGTTCGGGACGTCCAAGCCGTCGATTCGGAGGAACGTAAGCAGATTTCGTTTCTGCAGCGGACTTCGTAGGTTCTTCCTCCTTTACTGGTTCCGGCACAGGTTCGGGCTCAGGTTCAGGTTCCTGCTGAACTTGGTCTTCGATTTCCTCCTTCTCCGAAATTTTCCAAACGTTTTTAGATGTGTTTGAGTCCCCTTCTCCGGACTCGCCTTCTTGCTGCTCCGGTTCATCTTCGGCTTCATTAATATTCAATTTCTGGATCTTGAGACCGGAGTAATCTTTTTCGCCCTCTTCGTGATATTCTTTCCATTCGTCGGTAGGATCCTAGAAAGAATCGTGAAATTATCAAGAATCGTTACAGGAGAGATAATCTCCTCACCTCTTTTCCTATGTCGTAAACTCCTTCTTCTTCCGGCTTTCCGCGTTCTTTTTTGGGCTTCTGTTCCGCCGGCTTCTCAACCTTCTTTCCAGTCTCCTCCAGTTTCTTCGCTATTTCATCGGTCGTAGTGAATTTCTTTCCCCTTCCTTTTTTCTTATCACGTTTAGCAAAAAAATCACCGAGTTGAGCCATTATCGCGAACGTTCGGTTACTTCAAGCGCGGTTTTTAATTTACACCGCAATCAGGAGAAAAGGTGAGAGTAACCCGAGGCCTGAAAGAATTCCACGGTTAATCACCCCAATAATGCAGTCCGCAAAAAGCTGAAATACAGGAAATTTCTGAGGACTCGGGATCACAGCCAATTAGTCCTTAACACTGTTTGTTTCACCCGCATTTATAAACAGCACTCCTGCATTCCCGAATTGCACCAGATTACCAGTGATCATGGTTCACGGGTCTCACGTGCAGAACGGCAGCCATTTGTGTACTTCTTTGCGATTGAATATGGCGGAGGACAAAGATCCACAAAGCAAAAATATTATGCAACTCATGACAAATTTTTCAATTTGAAAATTTTATTCTGCACCGTATGCATTTCCAGGCAATATAAAGGTACAGTACGCATACTACAGTATTTTTCATGAAGTTTCGCTGACATTGCTTACTTTCTCAAGTTGTTTAAATGTCCCAAATAGATAATAATTTTACTGAATACCATAATGATTCAGTATTGTACTGCAGTATACTGTACTGGATTATTCTCAAAACATGTGTAAAAATAAATCAACGCACAAAAGAACAGTTTGTTTAAACAAATGAAGTGTCTGATCATATGATTAATAAGATTTGAATTCCTTGTTTGATCAAATTTTCCTCTATTATTTTGTCAGGAGCTTATGAAGATGACATTGTATTGGTGGATGCATATAAGAAACAGTGGATTTATTTTTTGGCGTATACAGTATACTGTAGTAAAATCTCTTCAGGACTCAGTCTGCAATAGATGGAACCACCAGGAAAATATCCTTTTTGCCACCAAAAAAATTGCTTCAACAGAACTAATCTAATATAATGTGGCTCTTATATATTGGACACAAGAATGCAGATGACCCATAATAAAGAACTATATGCAATTGTGATTGAATATGTTAAAATCAAACCTCTTCAAGTGAAATTTCAAGGGACCAGCAAACAAATTTGACTCAGGAAAGTTTTGGGGTAGGGAAACAATCATTTTTGTCACAAAGAAACAAAAGAATTGCTGGAAATTGTACATGGGGATATTCTGGATCTCAACCATTCTTGCATAAGTTTGGAACATGTTGAACTTGGAAGCAGTGGTACATTTGCTCATTTAGTTTTTCACTTCCTTTCAAGACACATGCATCTATCACTTGCTTTGTTTTTCTCTTTCATACATCAATAAAATTTTAGCAAAAAGGCCTAAGAAAATCCAACTGACAGTGGCAAAACAGAAAAAACTGAATTAGGGAGAATTTTAATTCATTGTTTCTAAGGGAATTAGACCAGAAATCATACATTTGACTTTGGGAGGTATTGGACTTCTATAGGGAGGTTTGACCTACCAAGATTCAACTTAATAGTACAGAACTTGATCTACAGCACAGCTCTGTTACTGTGAAAAGTGTATACTCTTCCTAACACAGCTGACACCATCAGTACCACCAATATGACAGCATTCATTCTTGAAAATATCACAAAATTCATTTATTCTCTGTACAATCCAAGAAAATGTTGTATCTAGAAATGATTTTTTCAACCAAAAGCATGGAATAAAATAACATCTCATCACAACAAACCATTGGGACCAGTTAAGTATACTGATCATTGCTGCAAAAAAGCACACTATTTTAACCCATTTGACACTTAGGCTATTTAACAGAGAAGTAAAAAATTACTAAGGTATGTCTTTTAATTTTTGGTGATGCAATTTATAGCAAAAAAAGTTCTAAATCATAACAGACAATGTACGTGAAGGACAAATCAAATCAACTTTAAACTTTCATACAGGTTGCAACAGCATGAAAATATAAGGTAGAATTAGTTTGCATTAGACAGAAAAACTTATTCCTATTTAAAATTAGCTCCACCTGACATACATTTGAAATCAAATCTAGCTTTGTTTAATCAAATAATGCCAAAATTGTTCTCCAGTAGTACAAGCCTCAACTACCACACTTCATGGTAGAAAACATTTTAATTGGCTCTATCATAGTAAATGTGTAACAAATCATGCTCGAAGTTTATGCTATAATTAACCTACAAATGGGTATGTTGTATTGCATAAAATTAAGGCGTTTAATGCTTCGCTGAATCTTCCCATGAAAAGNGTTGAAGGCGTAGCCGGTGATGGAGATCCACTCGACGACGAGAGGAATGACCACGGCGTAGCACTTGGAAACTGTGCAGCCTGGAGTTGCCACCCTGGTGGCGGAAGCCATCCTTGCGCTAACGTGGCGGGGATGAGATTCTGCTCGAGCAGCGCGATAAGGTGCCGCCGTTCGGTCCCGGCCGGTTGGCCGAGGTCGTACGCTTGTATCAAGTACTTAAGGGTGGGCACTGGAACCGTTTCCCAACCAGGTGGAATTGCTGGAACTGGAGCCTTGGGTGCTGGCGGAGCGGGAATCAGCTGCGAAGGACCAGCTTCGGCGTTGTCAGCGTTCTCCATGTTCGGCGGGATGTAGGGCAGTGCTGCGGCCTTAGAATTTTCGGTGGTACGAACCATTCACTCGTGGACGGAGTCGATCGGGAGGTAGGGTTCGGGCCGGACGAGCCCCCAATAAGAGATTGTCAGAAATAAATGTCCTCGTCTCCTTGCCACAAGGTAAAAATGGTCGTATTGATTTCACCACAACAAATAAAGTCACTAAGTCACACAGTAAAAATAAGAAGAAGTGCTCAGTTCGAGATCTAGGAGCAGAATGCCATTGGGAGCTCCCCGCTGGTTCCACCTCTCCTCTGGTCCTCCTATCCGGAAGTCCGGGTGATGCAGACGGGTCGGTTGGACGACACGAGGTTGTCCCTTGCTTGGCTAGGTGTCGCTGTAAGGGAGAGCCTTACTCTCCCCCCCCCCCAAAAAAGGTCATCGATCCCGAGAGTTTAAACCACGTTTCAACACACTCGCGTACGTGTGGTCCGGTTTCACATTCGAGGGAGCAACGGCAATATTCGGAAAACAATCATGTTCGCGTAATACATTCAATTCCGGCGCGCACCCGGCCGACGGGTTAGCGAAAAAAAAATCAGCGTCGTTGTAAGTGGGGTTGGTGGTCCCTATGGGAGCGATTTTCATATGCCCCGTTGGGTCTTTGTCGGGGGGCCGTGGGAGCCCCGGCGCTGGCACCATTTCCCACGCGTTGGCTGTGCAGATGTTCCTTTCAGCCCCAACGAGGTATTGTCCTTGCCCGAGATAGCGAACGACGATGTAGGGGCCCAACTGTTGAATACGGAAACGTCTGTCGGCCGCGTGTTGTTGTACCGTGGGAAGTCGGGGTCGGATTGCCACGAGATCACCAGGGCTGAACGGGGGTCGTAGTTTCCGGTTGGCTGATTGACAGAAGGCCTGTCGTGCTTGCTCGCTGGTTTGATGAATCTCCTGCAGCTGCTCGTCGATGGGGGGAGCCGGAACTCCAAATTGTTCGTCGGATTTGAGGCGGACTGGGCGACCAAAAAAAACCTCTGTAGGGGAGAGAGATGTAGTTGTATGAACGGTGTTATTGTAAGCCAGAGCGGATGAGTGGATGTGCTGGTCCCACTGATTAGATTGGCCGTCGACTGCTTTTGCTTGGATTTGCATGAGTGTGCGTATGGCCCGCTCGCAGCAGCCGTTGCCTTCCGCATGGCCGGCGTGTGCCACATGTTGCTTTACCCCTGCATCGCGCAAAAACCATTTAAAGGCCCTGGAACGGAACACAGAATCGCAGTCGGTGTGGACGTAGTCAAATAGGCCGACTTGTCGAAAGAGCTCTGCTAAAAACGGAATAACTGTCGCGGCGTCCGCTGCTTTAATAGGTTTTACCGTCATGTATTTGCTAAAGTGGTCGACGCAAACGATAGCGTAGCGGTTTCCCGTCGGTGATGTCGGCATTGGCTGATTGACAGAAGGCCTGTCGTGCTTGCTCGCTGGTTTGATGAATCTCCTGCAGCTGCTCGTCGATGGGGGGAGCCGGAACTCCAAATTGTTCGTCGGATTTGAGGCGGACTGGGCGACCAAAGAAAACCTCTGTAGGGGAGAGAGATGTAGTTGTATGAACGGTGTTATTGTAAGCCAGAGCGGATGAGTGGATGTGCTGGTCCCACTGATTAGATTGGCCGTCAACTGCTTTTGCTTGGATTTGCATGAGTGTGCGTATGGCCCGCTCGCAGCAGCCGTTGCCTTCTGCATGGCCGGCGTGTGCCACATGTTGCTTTACCCCTGCATCGCGCAAAAACCATTTAAAGGCCCTGGAACGGAACACAGAATCGCAGTCGGTGTGGACGTAGTCAAATAGGCCGACTTGTCGGAAGAGCTCTGCTAAAAACGGAATAACTGTCGCGGCGTCTGCTGCTTTAATAGGTTTTACCGTCATGTATTTGCTAAAGTGGTCGACGCAAACGATAGCGTAGCGGTTTCCCGTCGGTGATGTCGGCAAAGGTCCATAAAAGTCGATGGTAAGGCGCTCGCGGGTATGGGTAGAGACGATCGGCGATAATTTGGTGCCCGTAATGGTGGTGGGGATGTTATACCTGAAGCACAGGGTGCATTCCTGTACGCGTTTCCACACGTCTTGTCTCAATGAGGGCCAGTGATATCGCTGCTGTAAGGTCTTGTATATCTTCTTCCAACCTGCATGTCCTAGTTCGGCGTGGTAGTCGTCTATGATCCGGAGTCGATCTTCTTCTTTGGGAACCTCGCGGGCGTCGCCTGCATTGATGCAGACCCTGCTCAGTGCGTCTGGTCCTTTAAGTAGCTTGCCTGGTTTGTGCACAAGTTTCAGTTTGAACGGGGCCAACTTGGTCTTCAAGTAGATTAGTCTCGTTGTCTTGAGTTCACCCAAGAGGGCTTTGTGGTCCGTATAAACTGTGAAGCTGCGCATTTCCAAATAGTGGCGAAACTTACTTGTAACACTCCACACGATGGCGAGTAGTTCCCTCTCGGAATTGGTATACCGTGTCTCGGTGTCTGACAGCACGCGGCTAGCATACTCGATGACCCGGGGGTGGCCCTGTTCGTCGATTTGGACTAAGATTGCCCCCAGGCTTGTTGATGATGCGTCGCAGTGTACTTCTGTA